CTTTCTTCCTGGTAAAGCTTATTTCCTACTTTAACGATGGATCTCATTCTGTGGAGACCGGATACATCTATGCAGGCGGACTGATTCTAAGTTCCGCTCTGTATACCTTGAATGTATATCCATGCGCATTTGCCGTTGCACATATGGGTATGTTGAGTTTTGATCTTAACCTAAAAGCTCTGCTGACCTAAAACCTTAATTATATAAAATTCGATTGGAATTCCAGCATTCAAGATCCGTGTGGGCCTTGGCAGCTTAGTCTATCAGAAGGCACTACGGCTGAGCAAGACCGCCTTGGGAGCTACCACGGCAGGACACGTGGTTAACCTTATATCTAACGACCTGGGTCGGTTGACCAACAATACGTATTACGGACATTATTTATTAGTGGGTCCTCTGGAAACCCTTCTAGTCACTTATCTAATGTACTCGGAGGTAAATTTAGATTAGCTTTGTTTTGTTATTTTAACCATTTTTAAATGTATGCAGATTGGAGTGGCTGCCGTATTTGGAATTGCCTTTATGATGATATTCATTCCCTTAAATCTTTACCTCGGAAAAAAGACCGCCGCTCTACGACTGAAAAGTGCGGAGAAAACCGACGATCGAGTTCGCTTGATGGGCGAGATAATCTCGGGCATTCAGGTGATCAAAATGTATGCCTGGGAGCTACCCTTTGAGCGGATCGTGTCCTACGCCAGGAAGTTGGAAATTAAGGCCCTTCGCCATAAGGCCTACCTTGGAGGCATCAACCAATCCCAAATATTCTTTGTATCGCGTACCTCCATTTTCATCAGTTTAATGAGCTTTGTGATAATTGGAAATACTCTCAGTCCGCAAGTAGCCTTCCTCATCACCGCATACCACAATCTTCTGAAAGTTACAATGAGTAACTTCTTTGCGGCTGCCATAACTCAGTCAGCCGATTATATGGTTTCCTTAAGGCGGGTCCAGAACTTTTTGCAATTGGAAGAGACGACTGAATTGGACGTAGTGGTAGAATCAGAAAAGGGCGCGGGAAAGGAACGATATATATCACTTTCCGACAAACCCGAAAAGGATGCTTCGCAGAATCCCCAACTCGCCATATCTGGGTTGAAAGCGAAGTGGGACCGCAAATCACCTGAGTACACTTTGAATGGTATAAACTTGAGGGTGAACCCCGGAAGCTTACTGGCCGTTGTGGGTCTCACTGGATCGGGTAAGTCCAGTCTAATCCAAGCCATTCTCGGCGAACTGCCCATCGAGTCGGGCGAGATCAAGAAGAATGGGTCCCTGTCGTATGCCGCCCAGGAACCCTGGCTGTTCTCCGGCACCGTGCGCCAAAACATCCTGTTTGGCCAACCCATGGACCACCAAAGGTACTGGCAAGTGGTGAAGGACTGCGCTCTTGAGCGTGACTTTGATCTTCTTCCATATAAGGACCAAACGTATGTGGGAGATCGCGGAGCTTCCCTTTCGGGAGGGCAGAAGGCGAGGATCAGCTTGGCCAGGGCCGTGTACCGGGAGGCCTCCATCTACCTCTTGGACGATCCACTTAGTGCGGTGGACCCCCATGTGGCTCGCCACCTCTTTGAGAAGTGTATACGGGGTTATTTGCGCGATCGCATTGTTATCCTGGTCACTCATCAATTGCAGTTTCTTCAAAATGTCGACCACATCCTGATCATGGAAAAGGGTCAGGTGAATGCTGTGGGAACGTATCAGTCTCTACATGAATCGGGTATGAATTTTGCTACCATGTTGGCCGATCCAGAAGGGGAAGGACGGGATGCTGCTGCTTCTCCAAGTAGTGAACTAAAGAGCGAACAGGCTAATACTTCCGAATCTACTTCTCCGAATCGTGTCGCGGAACCTCAAAAGGAACCATCGGATCCTGAGGCAGAGCAGATGATTACCCAGGAGCACCAGGAAACTGGAACAGTCGGCCTGGATCTTTACGGAAAATACTGCAAGGCCGGCGGTGGTTTCTTCGTATTCTCGCTGATAATGGGCTTTTGCTTGCTCTCGCAGGCAGTGGCTTCGCTAGGTGACTACTTCCTTAATTACTGGTGAGATATTTTCCAAGTATTGAAAAGGTTTCGAGTGGCACATAACTATGATGGATAAATTTCAGGGTAACCAAGAGAGGAACTTTAGTTCAGCCTGGAAACTTCACAGTCGTTTCCGGCGATCTGGAGTCGCATATTTCGGTGCGGTTGCATGAACTTGGCTGGTCGGTGGAACCCGAAACGCTGGACACCTATATTTTCACACTGATCACCGTTCTGACCATTGTGGTGATAGTATCCCGATTCTTTGTGTTCTACAATGCGGCAATGAGGGCTTCCATTCGGCTGCACAGGTCTATGTTACGCGGAGTCACTCGAGCCGCCATGTACTTCTTCCACACGAACCCGTCAGGAAGAATCCTGAACCGTTTTACTAAGGACTTGGGCCAATTGGACGAGGAGTTGCCCTCCATCATGTTAAATGTTATGCAGGTCTTCCTGGAACTAGGCGGAATAGTGATCCTCATTGCCATTGTGAACCCAGTATTCCTGTTTCCAACGGTGGTAGTCGGAGTTATTTTCTATCAGCTGCGGGCCTTTTACTTGAAGACATCCCAGGATTTAAAGCGCATTGAGGCCATTAGTAAGGATTGTTTAAGAATGTTTTTATAGAAAAGAAGGTATAAGGTCCTTCCTTTTTAGCACGTTCTCCTGTCTACTCGCATGTAAATGCCACGTTGACGGGTCTAACCACAATTCGAGCCTTTGGGGCTCAGCGTGTTCTGGAGGCAGAATTCAACAACTACCAGGACTTGCACAGCTCAGCTTTTTATATGTTTTTCAGCACATCTCGCGCCTTCGGATATTGGCTGGATAGCCTGTGTGTGATCTACCTCGGAATTATAACGCTAAGCTTCTTTATATTTCCTCCGGCCAATGGTGGTGATGTGGGTTTGGCCATAACACAGGTGGGTAAACCTGAAAGGCCCAACCCAAAACAAGTAATATTTTGTTTTACAGGCTATGTGTATGTCTGGAATGGTGCAATGGGGAATTGGTCAGACTGCGGTCTTGGAAAACTCTATGACTGCAGTGGAGCGAGTAGTCGAGTACGAGGACATTGAGCCAGAGGGTGAGCTAGAGGCACCAGATGGGAAGAAACCTCCAAAGTCATGGCCGGAGAAGGGAAAAATAATCTTCGACGAGCTCAGTCTTCGTTACGTGCCCGATCCGAAGGCGGACAAAGTCCTGAAGTCTCTCAGCTTTGAGATCAAGCCCCGAGAGAAGGTGGGCATCGTGGGACGCACCGGGGCGGGCAAGTCGTCACTGATCAACGCCCTGTTCCGCCTGTCCTACAACGACGGATCCATCATCATCGATAAGAAAGACACCAACGCAATGGGCCTACATGATCTGCGTAGCAAGATCTCCATTATTCCCCAGGAACCGGTGCTCTTCTCTGGTAGTATGCGCTACAACCTAGATCCCTTCGAGGAGTACAGTGATGAGAAACTTTGGCGTTCCCTGGAGGAGGTAAAGCTAAAGGAAGTGGTGGCGGATCTTCCTAGCGGGCTCCAGAGCAGGATCACGGAGGGCGGTAACAATTTCAGTGTGGGTCAGCGTCAGTTGGTCTGCCTGGCCAGGGCTATTCTGCGCGAGAATCGCATCCTGGTGATGGACGAGGCCACGGCTAATGTGGATCCCCAGACGGACGGCCTCATCCAGGCAACGATCCGGAACAAGTTCAAGGAGTGCACAGTTCTCACGATAGCCCATCGCCTGCACACGATCATGGACTCGGACAAGGTTTTAGTCATGGATGCCGGACGGGTGGTGGAGTTTGGCACTCCGTACGAGCTGTTGACGGAGGCAGACTCCAAGGTGTTCCATGGCATGGTGAAGCAGGCAGGGCAGGCTACCTACGACGGTCTGCTCAAGATAGCAAAAAAAGTATGAAAAAACTAATATGGGAGTAAATTTGTACTCATCTTTCTTTATTTTAATTTCAGGCATTTGAAGATGGAAAGCACCAAAGTCGGCGCCTTTCTTCTTAAGACTTTAGAGAGACCTACCCAATGTTATTGCTTGGATAACCTATTCACTGTCGGGATTAGATAGATTAACTCATATTTGTATTTTTAAATGCCTCGGTAGCTTTAATTACTGCTTACTTGTTTATGTTACGTTCATTAACTACAAAGAAGTGCCTCTCAAAATAAATTCAATATGAACTGTCTCAAGAAATCCAAAATGTCCAATACATTCATAGCAATTAACAATACTTCTCTAATAAAATATACTTGAAAAACGCGCGGGTTTCGAAATTTGAATTTGTTATCTATAATCTGTACTAAAAGCAAAAACTATTTATTATCAGCAAGTTTATTTCTTTATTATTTTAATATGACAGGGATTTGTTTATCAATTTTTTAAAAAATTAAATACATGGATAATGTACGCAAACCACTTTTTGTTGTCAATTTGTAGGTGGTTACTTTTTCCCAAAAACTCAAATTTCTCGCACTTTATTAAAAACTAGAAGAGAGTTAACTATACTGATAAAAAAACTCGTATAATCAAATACTGGTTTGAGCTCAAGGGTAGTATAGGGAATTACTTTTTCAAAATTAGTTTTTTTTTGATTCTATAAGCATTATTATTTTGTTTCCAAAGACATCTAAAAACGATTTCTTGTTGGGCGTTGACTTTTCTTTATTCTAGTCTATTTGTGAAAAAATTCGTATTATTTTTTGTCTACAAAAATAAAGTACTAGGTATTTTACAGTCGAGACACTAAACACTTATATTTTTTGGCTTGGTATAAACATTGATAATCAAAAGTAAAGAGCAGCAGTTGGCTTCCGTTCTCCTAGACACGCGGTCGGATTTCATCATCAGTATTGTTTTCAATTAGTTTTGTGTGGAATAAAATAGAATAGATTGATTTTAACTGTGAATTTAGAGCTTATTTCAAGGGAGTCTATTAAACTTAATAGTCTTTAGGCCTTAAAGTTGAAAATGGGGGAAAAATGTGTAATGAAAGCAGTGACTTCGGATGATCTCCCGGAAAATCCCCGGGAACATTCAAACTTTATTTCAGCCCACAGCTTTTGGTAGGTCTTTAAAAAAAACTATAAACTAGTAAGAAATAATTTGAATAAAATATTTCAGGTATACAATACCTATGTTTGTTAAAGGAAGCAAAATAACGTTAAATGTTACGGACTTATATAAGGTCTTAAAGGAGCACAAGTCTGGTACGATTAGTTTAATATAAATACTAAGTTTAATCACTAACCATATTTTAAGCATATGCTGTATGGTTAGTGGTTTAATGCAATAGACATTTTTAAAAGAAAAGCCTCGATTTTATTCAGGATAAAGAGATTTTATTAAAATGGTTTCTAAATATCTTATGTTTAAATAAGGTTAGTAGCCATCCAACTTATATCAAGTATATTTTATGATGTCTGGAAACATATTTAGTGATGTAGTAATGATAATACGATAAGATATGGTTTCGTATAAAAAGAATGTCATCTTACAGTAAAATAATAAAATCTTTTAATAATATAAACTCTTTAGGAAAATTTCATATTTGATAAGATTTTTATTAATGTTTTCTCCCCTTTTAGAGAAATTGGGCAATGAATTAGGTACCTTATGGGACCAAGAAGTAAAAACGAGCAATGGGAATCCCAATCTTTTTAGAGTCCTTCTGCGACAGTTCGGATGTTATTTCGGATTCCTCGGATTATTTATATTAATTGTGGAAATATGCTTTCGCGCGATGCAACCTTACTTCCTGTTGAAGCTCATATCCTACTTCAACCAAGGATCTGATTCCGTGGAGACCGGATACATATATGCAGGCGGACTGATCCTGACTCTCGCCCTCCTTACTATCAATATATATCCGTACTTGTTCACTATTAGAAACCTGGGTATGTTGGTAGTTATCTGGATAAATACCGGAGCCCTTGATCCCATCATTTCCGATTGAAATTGCAGGCTTTAAGATCCGTGTGGGCCTAAGCAGCTTGGTCTATCAAAAGGCTCTACGGCTGAGCAGGACTGCATTAGGAGACACCACGACCGGACATGTAGTGAATCTTATATCAAACGACCTTGGCCGCTTGACTACCGATTCATATTATGGACATTATTTAATAGTGGGCCCTCTGCAAACCCTTCTTATTACATATCTGATGTACTCTGAGGTAAATATTTCATTTGATTTTTGTATAACCTTTTAGAGGAAATAACAATTTGGCTGAAAGCTACAAAATGCACATTTCATAAGAATCCTCAGACTATATTCTATAGCTGACTTTCGAGAACCAGCTTGACCTCAAAGCTAAGATATGTTTGGCGGCATTTTACGGAGGTACATTTAAGCACATACCTTTCTTCTTTTTATTTCTTCTAGATTGGAGTGGCAGCTTTAATTGGAGTTGGCTTCATGATGCTTTTCATTCCCTTAAATCTTTACCTTGGGAAACAGACCGCCGCTTTACGACTGAAAAGTGCAGAGAAAACCGACGATCGAGTTCGCTTGATGGGCGAGATAATCTCGGGCATTCAGGTGATCAAAATGTATGCCTGGGAGCTGCCCTTTGAGCGGATCGTGTCCTACGCCAGGAAGTTGGAAATTAAGGCACTTCGCCATAAGGCCTACCTTGGAGGTATCACAAAATCCCTAATATTCTTTGTATCGCGAACCTCCATTTTCATCAGTTTAATGAGCTTTGCGATAATTGGAAACACTCTTAGTCCGCAAGTGGCCTTCTTCGTCACAGCTTACTACAATATCCTTAAAATTACGTTGAGTAATTTATTTGCTGCTGCCATAACTCAGTCAGCCGATTATATGGTTTCCTTAAGACGGGTCCAGAACTTTTTACAATTAGAAGAGACGACTGAATTGGAAATAGTGGTAGAATCAGAAAAGGGCGCGGGAAAGGAACGATATATATCACTTTCCGAAAAACCCGAAAAGGATGCTTCGCAGAATCCCCAACTCGCCATATCTGGGTTGAAAGCGAAGTGGGACCGCAAATCACCTGAGTACACTTTGAATGGTATAAACTTGAGGGTGAACCACGGAAGCTTACTGGCTGTTGTGGGTCTCACTGGGTCGGGTAAGTCCAGTCTAATCCAAGCCATTCTCGGCGAACTGCCCATCGAGTCGGGCGAGATCAAGAAGAATGGGTCCGTGTCGTATGCCGCCCAGGAACCCTGGCTCTTCTCCGGTACCGTGCGCCAAAACATCCTGTTTGGCCAACCCATGGACCACCAAAGGTACTGGCAAGTGGTGAAGGACTGCGCTCTTGAGCGTGACTTTGATCTTCTTCCATATAAGGACCAAACGTATGTGGGAGATCGCGGAGCTTCCCTTTCGGGAGGGCAGAAGGCGAGGATCAGCTTGGCCAGGGCCGTGTACCGGGAGGCCTCCATCTACCTCTTGGACGATCCACTTAGTGCGGTGGACCCCCATGTGGCTCGCCACCTCTTTGAGAAGTGTATACGGGGTTATTTGCGCGATCGCATTGTTATCCTGGTCACTCATCAATTGCAGTTTCTTCAAAATGTCGACCAGATCCTGATCATGGAAAAGGGTCAGGTGAATGCTGTGGGAACGTATCAGTCTCTACACGAATCGGGTCTGAATTTTGCTACCATGTTGGCCGATCCAAAAGGGGAAGGGCGGGATGCTGCTGCTTCTCCAAGTAGTGAACTAAAGAGCGAACAAGCTAATACTTCTCCGAGTCTTGTCGTGGAACCTCAAAAGGAACCATCGGATCCTGAGGCAGAGCAGATGATTACCCAGGAGCACCAGGAAACTGGAACAGTCGGCCTGGATCTTTACGGAAAATACTGCAAGGCCGGCGGTGGCTTCTTCGTCTTCTCGCTGATAATGGGTTTTTGTTTGCTCTCTCAGGCAGTGGCTTCGCTAGGTGACTACTTCCTTAATTACTGGTGAGATATTTTCCAAGTATTGAAAAGGTTTCGAGTGGCACATAACTATGATCGATAAATTTCAGGGTAACCAAGAGGGGCACTTTAGTTCAGCCTGGAAACTCCACATTTGTTTCCGGCGATCTGGAGTCGCATATTTCGGTGCGGTTGCATGAACTGGGCTGGTCAGTGGAACCCGAAACGCTGGACACCTATATTTTTACACTGATCACCGTCCTGACCATTGTGGTGATAGTATCCCGATTCTTTGTGTTCTACAATGCGGCAATGAGGGCTTCCATTCGGCTGCACAGGTCTATGTTACACGGAGTCACTCGAGCCGCCATGTACTTCTTCCATACGAACCCGTCAGGAAGAATCCTGAACCGTTTTACTAAGGACTTGGGCCAATTGGACGAGGAGTTGCCCTCCATCATGTTAAATGTTATGCAGGTCTTCCTGGAACTAGGCGGAATAGTCTTCCTCATTGCCATTGTGAACCCAGTATTCCTGTTACCAACGGTGGTAGTCGGAGTTATTTTCTATCAGCTGCGGGCCTTTTACTTGAAGACATCCCAGGATTTAAAGCGCATTGAGGCCATTAGTAAGGATTTTTTAAGAATGTTTTTATAGAAGAGGAGTTATAATCGTATCCTTTTCTCGTCACAGCACGTTCTCCTGTCTACTCGCATGTAAATGCCACGTTGACGGGTCTAACCACAATTCGAGCCTTCGGAGCTCAGTGCATTTTAGAAAAGGAATTTGATAGCTACCAGGACATGCACAGCTCAGCCTTTTATATGTTTATGAGCACATCCGGCGCCTTCGGATACTGGCTCGAAATTCTTTGTGTCATCTACATAGCAGTCATTGCGCTTAGTTTCTTTATCTTTCCTCCGTCCAGTGGAGGCGATGTGGGTCTAGCCATAACACAAGTGGGTAAACATCAAAGCAATTCCGAATTTCTATAATTTTAATATTTATACTTTACAGGCTATGGGCATGACAGGTATAGTGCAATGGGGAATGCGTCAGACTGCGGACTTGGAAAACACTATGACTGTAGTGGAGCGAGTGGTCGAGTACGCGGACATTGAGCCAGAGGGTGAGCTAGAGGCACCGGCTGACGAAAAGCCTCCAGAGACATGGCCAGAGCAGGGTAGCATCCTGTTTGAAGATCTCAGTCTACGATACGTGCCCGATCCTAAAGCGGACAACGTTTTAAAGTCCCTTAGTTTTGCGATCAAGCCTCGCGAAAAGGTGGGGATCGTAGGTCGCACCGGGGCAGGAAAGTCCTCACTGATTAATGCCCTGTTCCGCTTGTCCTACAACGACGGATCCATCATCATCGATAAGAGAGACACCAACGCAATGGGCCTGCATGATCTGCGTAGCAAGATCTCCATTATTCCCCAGGAACCTGTTCTCTTCTCTGGCAGTATGCGGTACAACCTAGATCCCTTCGAGGAGTACAGTGATGAGAAACTTTGGCGTTCCCTGGAAGAGGTAAAGCTCAAGGAAGTGGTGGCCGATCTTCCTAGCGGATTAAAAAGCCAAATCACGGAGGGCGGCACCAATTTCAGTGTGGGTCAGCGTCAGTTGGTCTGCTTGGCCAGGGCCATTCTTCGGGAGAACCGCATCCTGGTGATGGACGAGGCCACGGCCAATGTAGATCCCCAGACGGACGGCCTCATCCAGGCCACCATCAGAAACAAGTTCAAGGAGTGCACAGTTCTCACGATAGCCCATCGCCTGCACACGATCATGGACTCGGACAAGGTGCTGGTCATGGATGCCGGTCGGGTGGTGGAATTCGGCACTCCCTACGAGCTGCTGACGGCGGCAGACTCCAAGGTTTTCCATGGCATGGTGAAGCAGACGGGGCCGGCCACCTACGACGCGCTGCTTAAGATTGCACAAAGGGTACGATCCTTTTGATATACATTGGTAATCCATGGTTTCTAACTAAGATCTCCTTAAATTATTTTTCAGTACTTCGAAAGCGGAAAAGATCTGAAGGGAAGCATCGCCTCTTAAGTTAATAGTTTAAAATTGTTGATCAAATGTGTAAAAATAAAAGGTTATCTTTATATAACTAATCTTTTTGGGGAAAGTAAGTGTCTCAGCCGACATGGTAAGATTAGATTTTTAGGTTTATGTGGGTTGCTTTAGTAGGTTTATGGACTCCCAGGCACGCGGACGTTCTTTAAATTCGAGATACGGAAAGAATTCTTGAATTATTTGAAATGAGGTCAAGGTCGTTTGAGGTGTAGAAACGGATAGTTAAAATTAAACAATTAGATAAAATGCAATCAGTAAATAACGAAGAGCTTCCGGAAAATCCCCGGGAACATTCCAATTTTCTTTTAACGGCATGTTTCTGGTAATTAAATGTATTTTTACCTTTCAAATGGTTTATAAAATTATTGTTCAAATGGTTAATGAAGGTACACTATACCCACTTTTATCAAAGGACGAAAGGATACATTAGGTGCTAATGATTTGTACAAGGTCCTAAAAGAGCACAAGTCTGGTAAGTTTTATTAGTTTATGTTTATGACCTTTAAGAATCAGCTACATAATAAAGTTCTTGAGCTTCATCATTCTAATAGAAAAGACAAGTCGTCTGACAACGGTTTTATCTTTATTTCGACCACTTGGAAATACATATACTGCTCTCTTTTAGATACTCTGGGAAACCAATTAGGTATCCTATGGGACCAAGATATGAAAACTTCAAAGGGTAAGCCCAGCCTTATAAGGGTTCTACTGCGGAAGCATGGCTGGTACTTCGGACTTCTCGGGCTCGTGTTGGTTTTAATGGAGGTTGTGCTCCGAGGACTGCAACCGCTTCTCCTGCGAAGCCTTATATATAAATACAGCCAGGATTCTAGCTCTAAAACGGATGGAAATATTTACGCAGGTGCACTAATATTGTCCAGTAGTCTAGGATCGATTATTACTCATCCATACATGTTCGCAGTGTGCCATGTTTGTAAGTAAAGAACTCTTATTGAATAAAATTTGTTTTGTACAGATTACAATTAAAGGTTTCAAGATCCGCGTGGGCTTGGGCAGCTTGGTCTATCGAAAGGCTCTGCGGCTAAGCAAAGCATCCTTAAATGACACCACGGCAGGACATGTTGTTAATCTGATATCCAACGACTTGGGCCAACTTGACAGCATAATCTACCATGGGCACTATCTGTGGGTGGGTCCTTTGCAAATGTTTCTAATAACTTTTGTAATGTACCAGGAGGTAGGTCTAACTTAGGTCCCATTTTAAAGCTACTGAAGCTACTGATTTTATTTGTTCAGATTGGATTTCCTGCCGTGCTTGGAGTCGCTTTTATGCTGCTCTTCATTCCAATTAATCTATACGTAGGAAAAATTTCGGCACGGCTGAGGATAAAGTCGGTCCAGTGCACCGACGAGCGTGTTCGACTGATGCGCGAGATCATCACGGGCATCCAGGCGATTAAAATGTACGCCTGGGAGCTACCGTTCGAGCGAATCGTGTCCTACATCCGCAAAAAGGAAGTTGATGTTAATCGACGTAGGGACTTCATTACAGTTCTTCACTTCTCCTTGTCCGTGTTTGTTAGTCGTGCCTCGACTTTTATCAGTTTGGTGGGCTACGCTATGATAGCCCAGGTCCTTACATCCGAAGTTGCCTTCCTAATCATCGCTTATTACAACATCCTGCGCGAAACGATGTCGATTTTCTTTGCTATGGGCATTACGCAGACGGCGGAATACTGGGTTTCCCTTAAGCGTGTCCAAGCCTTCTTACAATTGGAAGAGATGGATCAAATAACTGCTGTGGAAGATCCAGAAGAGAATGAGGTTGAGGGGGAGGAAACGACACTACTTTCATCCACTCCTCATACTAAGCTCGTACCTCGTCCATTGGGGGCTGAGCTTTATGTTTATGGATTAACAGCAAAATGGGACCCCAAATCTCCAGAATGCACTCTGAATGAAGTAAGCTTGCAGATAAAATCGGGCACCTTACTGGCGGTTGTGGGTCTCACAGGCTCCGGTAAGTCCAGTTTGCTCCAAGCTATTCTCGGGGAACTGCCCGTCTTGTCGGGAGAGATCAAGAAGAGAGGATCCATATCGTATGCTGCCCAGGAACCGTGGCTCTTCTCCGGAACTGTGCGCCAAAACATCCTCTTTGGACAGCCCATGGACCACCAAAGGTATTGGAAAGTGGTGAAGGATTGTGCTTTAGAGCGTGACTTCGACCTGCTTCCATTTAAGGACCAAACTATTGTGGGCGATCGAGGAGCTTCCCTTTCGGGAGGGCAGAAGGCGAGGATTAGTTTGGCAAGGGCGGTGTATCGGGAAGCCTCCATCTACCTCTTGGACGATCCACTCAGTGCGGTAGATACCCACGTAGCCCGCCACATTTTCGAGAAGTGCATCCGTGGATATCTGCGTGATCGTATCGTCATCCTGGTCACACATCAATTGCAGTTTATTCAGCAATGCGATGAGGTCATGGTGTTGGACAAGGGTCAAGCGGTGGCTGCGGGGTCTTTCGAATCCCTACGTAATTCGGGAGTCGACTTTACAATACTCCTGAAACAAGCAGAGAGCGATGGGACGGAAAAGAAATCGGAGGAGGTGCCAGAAGGCCCTTCGCCATTGAAGATGCAAAGAAACCAGAGTGAGAGGTCCTTAAAGTCCTTGGGGGATCTCAATTCGGATGAAAAGAGCAATAAGCAAGAAAAGGGACAGGAGTACCAGGCCTCTGGCAAGGTCGGACTGGACGTGTACCTAAAATACATGAGGGCTGGCGGAGGCGTGACTGCTTTTTCGCTGATGCTTATAGCCTGGGCCATCTTCCAAGGACTTTCTTCGATGATTGACTTATTCCTGACCCACTGGTGAGAACTGAATACCATAAATGAAACATTAGTATTTCAAATTTATTTTTAGGGTCAATCACAACAAAGGCGAAAATAGTATGGAGGCTTCCGAAGGAAAAGAGTATCAGACGCTCATTTGGCTGCAGGACATGGGCTGGTCGCTGGACCCCAAACATTTTGAAATCTTGGTGTATTTCTTAATAGTAGTTCTAACCAATGTGGCTTATCTTATTGCTATTATGATGCTGTTTAGGTGCACTATAGCGGCCTCTGTTAGGATGCATAATTCCATGTACAGAGGAATTTCCCGAGCTTCCATGTATTTTTTCAACACAAATCCTTCTGGCCAGATTCTGAATCGATTTTCTAAGGACTTAGTTCAGATAGGTGAGGTCCTGCCAAGAGCCTTACAAGACTTCATAAAAAGTTTCTTCGCCCTAATGGGAGTTGCTACTATAATAGCCGTAGTGAATCCTATACTCCTCATTCCGACCATCGTCCTAGGCTTTCTTTTCTATCAGGTGCGCGTTTTTTATTTGAAAACCTCACGGGATTTGAAACGGATTGAGGCCATAGGTAAGTGAGATCTCAAGCCTGTTAGTTAAATATTTTAGTTCTGGATTTCTCAGCTCGATCACCTGTCTACTCACATGTCACGGCATCCCTCTCCGGCTTGTCCACTATTCGGGCCTTTGAGTCTAGGCACCTCCTGGAACAGGAGTTCGATAGTTATCAGGACATGCACAGCTCAGCCCATTTCATGCTATTAAGCTGCTCACGTGCTTTCGCTAATTGGCTGGATTTTTTTTGTGGAATTTACACAGCCATTGTAACGATCAGCTTCTCCTTTTTTCCACCAGAAAATGGAGCTCTGGTGGGACTGGCCATAACTCAGGTGAGAGTCCAATAGCCACTTAAGAAACTCATAATAGTCTATCCATTTTAACAGGCCATGAGCTTAGTAGCTTATGTACAGTGGGGATTGCGTCAATCCGCCGAAGTGGAGAACATTATGACTGCAGTGGAGCGAGTGGTGGAGTATGAGGAAATTGAGCCGGAGGGTGACCTTGAGGCACTTGATGACAAGAAGCCCCCAAAGTCTTGGCCAGAGGAGGGAAACATTGTCTTTGACGAGCTAAGTCTGCGCTACGTGCCCGACCCCAAGGCGGAGAATGTCCTTAAGGCCCTCAGCTTTGAGATCAAGCCTCAGGAGAAGGTGGGCATTGTGGGTCGCACCGGGGCAGGAAAGTCATCACTAATCAACGCCTTGTTCTGCTTGTCCTACAACGACGGAATCATCCTCATCGACAAGAGAGACACCGACGGAATGGGCTTGCATGATCTGCGTAGGAAGATCTCCATTATTCCTCAAGAGCCGGTTCTCTTCTCTGGTAGTATTCGATACAATTTGGATCCCTTTGAGGAGTACAGCGATGAGAAACTTTGGCGTTCTCTGGAAGAGGTAAAGCTCAAGGAAGTAGTAGCGGATTTGCCGTGCGGGCTGCAGAGCAAAATCGCGGACGGTGGAACTAATTTCAGTGTGGGTCAGAGGCAGTTGGTCTGCCTGGCCAGGGCAATTCTCCGCGAGAACCGCATCCTGGTGATGGACGAGGCCACGTCAAATGTAGATCCCCAGACGGACGGCCTCATACAGGCCACCATTCGGAACAAGTTTAAGAAGTGCACAGTGCTCACGATAGCCCATCGCCTGCACACTATCATGGACTCTGACAAGGTGCTGGTCATGGACGCAGGTCGGGTGCTGGAGTTCGGCACTCCCTACGAGCTGCTGACGGAGGCAGACTCCAAGGTGTTCCATGGCATGGTAAAGCAGACGGGGCAGGTTACCTACGACGCGCTGCTCAAGATCGCACAAAGGGTACGATCGTTTTGATAAACCATAAAAAAAATTTGTTCTAACTTAGATTTTTTTAACTATTTTTCAGTCCTTTGAAAGACGGCGAATCGGACGGAAGCATCGCCTCTTAAGATAAAAGTTTAAAACTGCTGATAAGACGTTTAAATTTTTTGGGTTATCTTTATTATGGTGTATATATTAGGTCGTTTTTCCCAGAATTTACTTCACGTGCGAGTCAAAATATAATAATAACACTGATTGTACTCATAAAACTCATAAAAAAGAAACTGTTTAGCCAAATTCGTCTGAGGTTGGTCCTTTTCTTATCTGTCTGGTACATGTTGACATG